GGAGGGAGGGAGGCAGGGGGGGGAAAGAGAGAAACACAGATGTGAGAGAGACACATCGATTGGTTGCCTCCCCCATACGCCCTGAGACCAGGGCTGGGGATCCAGCCTGCGGCCGAGTTACACGCCCTAACCAGAATCGAACCCCAAAAATGGTGCCTTATATTCAATGAAATACTGTATTGAAAAGCAAGATACTCAGCAAAAATTACACTCAATGAAAGAGCCAACAGAACTAACAACTAAACATTATTACCTGTTAGTGTGGAACAGGTCTCTGGGCTGGGGGAAAACGTTTTAACTGTGACACCAGAAATAATCATAAAAGGGAAAATAATAAACTAGGCTTCACTGACGTAAGCAGCTTCTGCTCTTTGAAAGATACTATTTAAAAAGGGAAAAGAGAAGCCCCAAGCTGGGAGGCAGTACTTGCAGGCCACACATCTCACCTCCTCCCCATTCGTCCATTAGCAGCCCTGGTACAGGTGACATCCCTCAGAACTGAACAGACCGTAACCCTCAGCTTGAGGAAACAGGAAAATCAAATACAAAAATACATACCACTTTCTTCCCAGAAGGTTCCCAGAGAGAAATATCGCCCCATGATGTGTTATAAAAGTACTTCTCTCCAGGATCAAAGCCTTTAAGGTCCTTTGAAAAAGGGAGAAAAAGAGGGAAATGATTATACAATTCCAGCAAAGAAAGAAATATTTACTCAGAGCCTGACAGGATACTTGGCACCTAAGAAATCTACATGGGAAAGTGAAGTGAAAATGCAGCCCCTGAGCAAATTGTGACAGAGCCATAAAGTATGAAACCTGCGGAATAATCCAAGTTAAAATTATAGTTTTATAAGAATAAACAGATGACATTCCCCACAGATAATTTTTAGAAGAGAAAAACCTCAGGAGCATACACCACCTTCCACCAGAGTGAGGACTTTGGAGGAGAATTTCAGGTGCTGAGAGTATGAAGTACGAGTTCCGAGTGTGTGAGGCATCGGCCACGGGGAGGGCCAGGTAGACGGGGAGAGTGTGGCAAACATGGCAGCAGAGGAAGGGAGGAGGAAGGGGACGGGACGGAGTCACTGGGAACCTAGTGACGGATGTGATGGGGTGTCTGGACTGCGTCGTGGTTCAAAAAAACCAAGTGTAAAAAAATTTTGGGGGGGAAACTGGAGAAATCTGAATATAAACTGGGTAATAGGTAAGATGAACATTTATTTAATGACACAGAAACATGAAAGTAACAGAAAAAAGCAAAGTAATATAAAAGCATGATCAACATGCACTCACTGTGTAAAGACTGCACACATGCACAGGGAAGGCTAAACAGTAAGATGTTAAGAATGGCAATTTCTGAAGGTAGAAATGTGGCATTTAAAATTTTATTTTCTAAAAAAATAATTACCTGTATTTTCTCTTTCACAGTTTATATTACTGTTTTATAACAAATAAAGGTCATTTATTTTTAATCCTCACCCGAGGATGTTTTTTAATTGATTTTCTTAGAGAGTAAGGAAGGGAGAGAAAGAGAGAGAGGCATTGTTGTGAGAGAGAAACATCAATCAGTTGCCTCTCATATACACCCCGATGGATCAAACCCGCAACCTTTTGTGTACGGGACAATGCTCCAACCAACTGAGCCACCTGGCTGGGGCAAAGGTCTTTTTAATACATTAAAAAAATATTAGTTAAGCCAGAGAAAGATAGTTAATATAACCACTGTCTCTGAATATGCCTGTGCTAATACGCTGCTTACCAAGTCAATTCGGAACTAGAGAAAAGTACACATTATTACCAGGATTTAAATTGGAAATACTATGTTGTGAGTTCTGTAACATACAGAAGTACGATGTAGGACAACAGCATCGAGGCTGGAAGAAGAAAGCACACTGCTCTTACATCACAGGTGAAGCAAGCAGTCTCATATGAGAAAGGTAAATGAAAGCAGAGCTAGTAAGCCAATAATGGAGATGAAAATGGAATTATAAAAAATATTCAATCCAAAAGAAAGCAGAAAAAGAAAAAAAGGAACAAAGAACGGAGAGACAAGTAAAAACAAACAGCATGGGAGATTTGACCCCAACCCTATTGATAATTACATTAGGTAACACGGGCTGCTAACTTTTTCTGTAAAGAGCAGGTAATAACTATGAAGTCTCTGCCAGCTATGCAGTCTCTGACACAGCCACCCATCCACCATTGTGCACCAGAGCAGCCAGAGAGACACTATGGAAACACTGACAAGCACGGCTGTGTTCTGACAAAGTTTATTTACAAAACAGCCAGATTTGGCTCATATTTGGGGCCATAGTCTGCCTCCCCCTGTACAAAATACTCACAGACTGTCACACTGGGTATAAAAACAAGATCCAACTATATGCTCTCCACAAAAATCCCACTATAAGTATAAAGACATAGAATAAAGGTAAAAAAATGAAAAAAGGTATGTCATGCTACCACTAATCAAAAAAAAAAAAGCTGAGGGAGCTACACTGATATCAAACAAAGGAGACTTCAGCCCGGGAGAAAGAATGTTAATCTGGATAGAGTCACCTCATGACGATAGTGGGATCTATTCTTCAGGAGAACCTAACAATCTTAAATACGTTGCCCTTTAAAGAGTTTCAAAATACATGAACAAAGCTGATTGAACTGAAAAGATAAATAATTAAATCCAAAATTACAGTTGGAGACTTCAACACGGCTCTCTCAAGTAGAACAAGCCCACAAAATCAGAAAGACAGTGAAGACTGACCACCACCAACCAACTTGACAAAATGATGTTACAGAACTCTCCACCTCCAAAAGCAAAACATATTCTCTTCAAAAACACATGATGTTTCCAAAGAGGGACCTCCTGCTGAGCCGCAAAGTAAGTCTCAATATATTTAAAGCACTGAGATAATTATAAAGTACGGTCTCTGACCAGAGCAAAATTAAATAAATCTATAACAAAAAGATACCTAGAAAAAAAAACCAAATTTCTAGAAATTAAACACATTTCTAAATAATCCATGGATCAAAGAAGAAATCACAAGGGAAATTAGGAAATATTTTAAACTGAATGAAAATGGAAACAATGAATCAGATGTTGTAGGATGGAGTTAAAGCAGTGCTTCAGGGGAATTTGTGACTCTAAATACTTAAGAAAATAAAGAGCCCGGACTGTGTGGCTCAGCGGTTGAACGTCAACATAGGATCCAGGAGATCGGGGTTCAACTGCTGGTTAGGGCACATGCCTGGGTTTTGGGTTCGATCCCCAGCGAGGGGCATACAGGAGGCAGCAGATCAATGACTCTCTCATCACTGATGTTTCTCTCTCTCTCTCCCTCCCTCTTCCTCTCTCTGAAATCAATAAAGACATATTTATTAAAAAAAAAAACACAAAAAACAGTGATCTAAACTGCCATCTTAAGAGATCAAATTTTTTTTTTAATATATCTTTATTGATTTCAGAGAGAGGAAAGGAGAGGGAAAGAGAGAGATAGAAACATCAATGATGAGAGAGTCATTGATCGGCTGCCTCTTGCACTTCCCCAACTGGGGATCGAGCCTGCAACCGGGGCATGTGCCCTGACAGGGGCTCGAACCGCGATCACCTGGATCCTAGGTCGACGCTAAACCGCTGAGCCACACCTGGCCGGGCAAGAGATCAAATTTTAAAACTTAAGTAGAATAGAAATAGACAACAGAGAAAAATCAAGGAAACCAAAACCTGTTACTTTGAAAACATCAGTAAAATTGATAAACTTGTGTTCAGACTGAAGAAAAAAAGGAGACATGAATTACCAGTGTCAGAATGAAGACGGACCATCACTATGGCTCCTATAAGTACTGAAGTGACATAACAACTTCATGCCAATAAAGCTGACAACTTAAGTTGTAATGAACAAATTCCTTAAAAGAAGACAAGCTACCAAAGCTCACTCAAGAAAAACTAGATAACCTGGTATCTAGTGAAGAAACCGAAGTCACAGTTAAAAACCATCCCACAAAGGAAACTCCAACTCTAGATGAGCTACTACAGTCAATGAAAACTTCAGGCCATATCCCTCCTCATGGACACAAATGTAAAAATCCTTAAACAAAATATTGCAAATCGATCCAACATATAGAAAGGACCGAGTGGAATTTCCCTGAGGAATACAGATGGTTTAAGAGTTTTGTTTTTTAAATCAAACCATGTAATTCACCATATTAGATTTAAAAAGTTATCTTAATGGATGCAGAAAAATCATTTGACAAAATTCAACAACCAGTCATACTTTTTGCTTTTAGCAAAGTGAGAATAAGGAACTTCCTCCACTGAAAAACAGACCTACGAAAACACAGCTAACCCTCACACTGTTAACAGTGCAGTCACACAACTGGTTTGGATAAAGGACTAGTCACTTCCTATAAAACTGAACATACAATCTTGTACTTGTATACCTAGATAATTTCCCAAGAGAAATCAAAACATGTTCACAAAACTACTTTTGTAAAAATATTTGTAAGAATCTTATTCATAATAACCCAAACCTGGGGCAGCCTCGTGCCCACCACCAGCAGAAAGGATCAAGCAGCTAATCATCCATGTAACAAGAAGCGACTCGGCAACAAAAAGGACCAATCACAGACGGCACCACAGAGATTTCCATGGAGTAGATATGATTTGTTACATAAAACTGCACAACAGGATAATCTAACCTGCAGTAAAAATTTCAGAATAGTGGTAGCCAGTGGGGTGGGGGCAGGGACTGACTAGAAAAGGGCTTAAGGAACCTTTCTGGAGTGATGGGCTTGTTCTAGGTCTTCACAGGGACTTGTATTACAGGAGTAAATGCATGTTGAAACCATCATTTACAGAATTAAGGTGCATTTCACAGCATATAAAGTCCCCTCCCCCAAAAAATGGCAAACCAAGACTAAACTCTGGTTAGTGACATGTATGCTAAAAGAATGTAAGGGTAGAGTGTACTGATGCCTGGAACTTTCTTTGAAATGCATAAAAAAATAAGATAGAACAGCCCTGGCCAGTGTGGCTCAGTTGGTTGATTGGCATCCGGTGCACCAAGTCCAGGTAGCGGGCTTGATCCCTGTAAGGGGAGGGCAGGAGTCAGCTAATCCATGTTGTGCACTCACATAGGTGTTTCTCTCTCTCCCTCTCCCTTCCTCTCTCTAAAAATCAATTTAAAAAAAGAACAGTGGGTGGAGATAGATACATATGTTAATTCTGTAGAATTTCAGTGGTAGATAGATGGGTTTTCATTGTATAATCCTTTCAAGATTTCTGTAGGGTTAAATCTTTCACAAGAAAACACTGGGAAGGGAAGCAGAACAGGAATGTTGTATCACAGGAGAGGAGGGAAAAGAGTTCAAAGGAAGGAATGCTTCCCAGACTGTCAGAAGCAGCATAAAAGAGCTAGGAAGAAACTATTATTAGAAAATAAATGAAAGGTATTAACAATATTTCAATTTATTTGTGTAGATAAGATTTAACAACAGGATAAAAAATTTTAATCTATTTATACAAATATAGGTCTCCCAAGACTGCCATAGGGGCTTCCCACATTATCAATGGAATTTCCTCAATCTCCACACACACACTTGTGTTCTTAGCTTGTTGTTTTTATACTCTGCAAATATCACTTATCTATTAGTAATAGACTATGTATCTACCATCTACCTTCTCAGTCTTGTATTCAAATAATTACCCTGCTTTCTCCCTCATGAAAGTCATAAAATACGACTTATAGACAGAGCTGCAAAGAACTCTGGGAGTTCTTGTATTTTAAGACTGCTCCTGGGAAATCGTCTACATAAGAGGTTCCTCTTCCGGATCTCTCCCATCCTTTTATTTCCAAATGGACTTTCAGTCAGCCTGTTATTAAAAGTAGTTCCCTACCTGGGTTTTACTTTCATTGATTCATTTTTAAAATGTTTGTTAAAAATACATATAGATTTGTTAAGTGTCTATGTGCCAGACACAACTCTGATCACAGGTAGTACAGCAGATAACCAAACAATGAGGTCTCTGCTTACACTCAAGTGTGGGACTGTGAGTCACTTCAGGCACTTGAGAGCTTTGAAGAAAAACAGAGCAGGTAGCAGAACACAACACAGTGGGAGAGGGTAGCTTCCTAGGCAGAAGGGTTCTCATGGTGAAGACTGAGCAGAGCACATTCGGGGTCCTGTGGAGTCACATCTGTCTACCTGCTGACCATCAATGAGAATCCTGGTGACCATTAGTCTCTCACATCAGGCTGCCCTTTAAGTAAATAAAATCAATCTGGTTGAAAGTCTGAGATTTGAAAATTAAGAAACTGAACTGTTCAAAGGCCAATAATACTTTGAATTAAGTTCTTCACAAGTTTAAAAATTTCAAAGCAGACATGGTCCGTATTTCATAGTTATGAATAGAATATCAATGGCTGGCTATAAGGCTACAACAGCAAGCCTTATTTAACAATTTTTATTTCTTTACTAGATGTGCCATCCATATATTCTCAAGTTATAATACAACTTATCAGTAGAGTGTGACTGTGGCCTTAATTTTTAAACTTTTGTAAGATTGATTATATTTATACGTCATAAAAAACAATACCCTATCATATCTTGTATGCATCCCCATTTATTGATTACTCTAACAATACTGGGAAATCAAGTTAGGGTCTTCTTCTGCTAAAGTAATAAATAATTCAACACATTTGCCTCAAAGATCAAAAACAAATACACAGTTAACCCTTGAACAACACAGGGGCTAGGGGTACCGAACCCCCACCCCACCCCACTACCCATAGCCAAAAACCTACATTTTAACTTTCAATGCCCCAAAAGCATAGTTTCCCTGAGCCCCTACAGGGGATTGGGACCCCCTGCAAATACCAAAATCTGAGATGCTCAAGTCCCCTCTTTAGAACAGCCTAGATCAATGCATATCGTTGGCCCCCAGCATCCACGATCCCCAACCACAGATCAGAAATCCTGTTTTTGATCTGCAGTTGGTTGAACCCGTAGATGTAAAACCCAGGGATCCAGAAGGCTGACTATATATTTATTGCAAAAAACTGTGTACAGGTGGACCTGTGAAGTTGAAACCTCTGTTGTTCAAGGGTCAACAGTATTTTAAAACTAATGACTAAAAACAGCTTACATACTCAGTGTCTGAATGCTTTTATGCTTTATTTCTGGTATCTGAAAATGTCCTTGAAACAGCTGCCCAGCCGGGCATGGCTCAGCGGTTGAGCATCGACCTAGGATCCAGGAGATCGGGGTTCGATTCCCGGTCAGGGCACATGCCTGGGTTGTGGGCTCAATCAATGACTCTCTCATCATTGATGTTTCTCTCTCTCTCTCCCCCTCCTTTCCTCTCTCTGAAATTAATAAAGATATGTTTAAAACAAAACAAAAAAATTTAAAAAAAAAACAAAAAAACTTGAAACAGATTAAAACAACTCAATTTAAGTCAGAAAGGCATAAATAAGAACTAATGATGCTCTCAGGGAATCATTTCAATTATTAGCAATTTCCATCTTGAGGAATCGTACCCATTCTTCAAAAACTTCCAGTTCAAATCTCAGCTCCAAAAAGCCAACCCTAGCATCTCCAGGACCACTGTCTGCTCTTAATTTGTTACTGATGTCCTCTTACCTTCAGCAACTCCTTGCAGCTGTCAAGCCCTATATCCACAAGAATGCCCTTCACCTTTTTTCGTACCTTCCTGATGCTGTCAAGATTTTCCACAGGAATTTGAAACATTTTTGAAATTTTCCTAAGAAGGAAAGAAAACAAAACTGTAATAAGTAAGAGGGTTGGTAAAACACTGAGAGTAATTTTCAACATATCACGCTGGTTATTTATATACACACAAAAGAATGAAGCTGCACCCTTTCCTTATATCATACACAAAAATCAACCCAAAGATCATACGCCTCCATCTAAGAGCTAAAACTTTAAAACTCTCAGAAAAAAACAAAGGCATTTAATCTTCATTACCTTGGATTTGGCAATGGATTCTTAGATATGACACCAAAAAACACCAGCAACAAAAGAAAAACCTAGGTAAGTTGGATTTAAAACTTTTGTACTTCAAAGCAAAGCACACAAAAAGTAAAGAGAGAATGCACAAAATGGGAGAAATTTTTGCAAATGGTATTTCTGATAAGGAACTTATACCTGGAATATGAAAAGAACTTTGATAACTCAATAATTAAAAAATCAATAACTCAACTTAAAAATGGGCAAAGGATCCGAAGAAGTAGCTACTATACAAATGGCCATTAAGCACATGAAAAGATGCTAAACATTAGCCATGTGGAAATGCAAATAGAAACCACAATGAGATATGTCTTTACGTCTACAAGGTTGGCTGTAATTTTGAAAAAGAACAAGGGCTGGCAAGGATGTAGGGAAACTGATCGCATGTTATGTCACTGGCAGTAATGTAAAATGTACAGCCACTTTGGAGGAGAGTCTGGCAGTTCCTCAAAAGATTAAACACAGAGCCACTACATGAGCTGGCAATTCCACCAGAGAGAAATGAAAGCCATGCATCCAAACAAAAACTTTACCAGAATGTTCATAGCGGCACTATTCTTCATAGCCAAAAGGCAGAGATAACCCAAACATCCATCAACTGAAGAATGGATAAGTAAAATGTGGAGCATTTATAGAATGGAATATTATTTGGCCCTGAAAAGAATGAAGCACTCACACAAGCTACCATGTGGATGAGCCTTGGGGAACGTGATGCTCAGTGACAGAAGCCAGACACATGGATCACACGGTCTGATTCCATTTACAAGAAGTGTCCCGAGCAGACGAATTAGATGTAGAGGCAGCAGGTACAACACTGGCTGCCTAGGGCTGAGAAGATGATGGCTGAGGGGAGGCTGAGGAGAACTGGGAGATGATAGCTGAGGGGAACAATTTCTTTTTGGAATAATGACAATGTCCAAAAACTGTGATGATGGTTGCACAACTCTGCAAGTACACTAAAAGCCGTTGAATTGTACACTCTAAATAGGTGAATTATATGATATGCAAATTACATCTCAATAAACCTGTTTTTAAAATATCTGAAAAGGCATAAAATTAAAATAAGCCCTGTGATACTTGACTGAAAAGGCAGAGGTGTGACCTTACTGCTTTCAATACATACATAAAAAAATAAATGAGTGTGATTTCCATAGCTCTGCCCACTAAAAAAGCCTAGAAGCAGTTACACAGCCCAGTAGCAGTGAGCACTCCTCAGGCCCAAATCTTAATTTCTAAATACCACTTTCCATTAAAAGGAACCAGGGTTCTTTGGGAAAATGGCTGATTCAAGGACTGGAGCATGGAAAAGACAAGCTTCTCCTAGAACATCTTGTGCCAGAAATAAGGAAGTTGGTCGAAGAATGGTGAGACATATCAAAAGGACTCGAACGAAGCCAGCTTGAAGAAGTTCCCACAAGCCAAATATGGGGCAATCTGGGCAGCAAATAAATAAATGATGACAGTAAGAGATTACAGCCTGTGGCACTGAATTTTCCAAAGATAATGCAACAATATCTCCCATCCCATGTGCTCGTCTTCTAATAGGATTCTGACACTCCTTCCAAAAAGTAAGGGCGTCTATGCCCCCACCTCATGAACCTGGGCAGAGCTTTATGGCTGCCTCACCCAATATAGAATGGCAGAATTAATGCCATGTGACTTCCAAAGCTAGACCATAAAAATGCCACACTGCTGCCTGTTCTCTGAGGACTATCACGTTTGGAATACAGACATGATGTTGTGAGGAAGCTAAGCTAATCCAGTGGAGAATACATGGAAATGTTCCACATCAGCCACTAGATGTGCAAGTGAAGATGCCTCTAGGGTCCCTATCAAGTCAACCCCAGCCTTTGAGTCTTCCCAGACTGAGGCTCAGACATTGTGGAACAGAAATAGCCATTTACTTAACTCCTGCCTGAATTCCTGACCCAAAGAATTATTGAGCTTTTTAAATAAAATGTTTTATTCTACAAAGTTTTGGGGTAGTTTGGTATACAGCAATGATAACTAAAACATAACCCACTACGATATAAACTTAAGTCCATGGTGTTATAATTAAATAAATTGAAAGCTTGATGAGAAATGGAATATTTACATGCTTCCCAACCACCTACCCACAAAATACTTAATAACTAAGAAAAAAGAATAACTCACAGAAGTCTGGCAGACAAGCCCAAATAAAGAGACATTGTAAAAAAACAACTAGCCTATAACATTCAAGTATCCAATACAAGGTAACACTACTCATAGTAGCCGAAATGTGGAAACAATACACGTCCATCAAATGGTGAATGGATAAACAAATGTGGTATATCCATACAACGGAACACCATTTGGCAATGAAAAGTAACTGGGTACTGACACATGATACAACATGAATCTCTAAAACATGATGCTAAGTGAAAGATGGATGCAGAGGTCTTCATAAAGTCTGACCCCACTTATAAGAAACCTCCAGAAAAGACTAATCTATAGAGATAGAAGGTTAGTGGTTGGCCAGGGTGGGAAGAGGTACTGACTGCAAGTGTTTAGGTTTGGGAGAGGAGGGATGCTAGAAATGTTCTAATAGTAGATTGTGGTGATGGTTGTACAACTCTGTAAATTCATTTAAAAATCAATGAATTATACACATTCTAAAAAAGGGTCATGGGAGGAAAACTAAGGAAGTGTTCCAGATAGAAAAGAAACTAGGTAACTAAATATAACATGCAATTCTATCTAGATTCTTTTACTGTAAATGTTATTGGAACTGGCAAAACTTCAATGGTAATAATGTATTGATTTTCTGGTTTGATGGTTATGTTCTGGGTATGCAAGAAAATGTTATTTGTAGGAAATACACAATATGTGGGGTAATGGGATGGCATCTTGTTTGGCAACCTACTTTCAAATGATTCAGGGGGAAAAGTTCTTTGATTGTAGTTGCAACTTCCCATAAATCTCCAATTATGTCCAAAAAGCGGGGGTTTTTTGTTTGTTTTTTAAATATGTCCTTATTGATTTCAGAGAGAGGAAGGGAGAAGGAGAGAAACATCAATGATGAGAGAGTCACTGGTCAGCTGCTTCCTGTACGTCCCCTACAGGGGAGGGGCTCTAGCCCGCAGCCTGGGCATGTGCCCTGACCAGGAATCGAGCCTCAATCTCCTGGATTACAGGTAAATGCTCAACCACTGAGCAACACTGGCCAGGCCAAAAAAAGTTTTTTTAATGTGTAAGCTATAAAAGCTAAAAACAAAATCAGTTAGTTAAATTTGAGTTAAAGAAACACCAGGTAAAATAATGATTGTCAATTTTTTATTATTAAAACAGTAACTTTTAAAGATTGACAATATCCACTAGTAGTGAAGGTAAGTAGAAAAACTGTAATTTCTACATGTTTACAGAGAAATTTGGCGGTATCTCCCCAAGATTTTAAATGACAATTTCTATGAGTCAGCAGTTCCACTCTGTACCCCTCCTTTAACCCTCTCCAAGGATAAATTCAGTGCCCCTCTTAGGAATCCCCAGAGGAACCAGTTTATACATTTCTCCCATTGCACTCACCTCACTATGTTGTAATTACCTATTTATATATGTTCCCTATTGAACTAAGCTTCAGGGCAGTAATCACATTTTATTTGCGTGGCTGGGCCTATCACAGAGCATAATACATAGCAAATGTTTACAATAAATGAACAAAAGGGTTAAAATAAAACCATAAGAATCATGAGACGTGGAAAGGGCTATGGAGGTTCAAAATGGAATGACTATGGAGGACTGCAGAAGTGGAGCCCAAGGTGGTCCAGGTGAACAGATCAGCATCAGAAATGATTGAGGTAAAGAAGGAAAAGTCTGAATATATATGGCAAAAGGTAAATTAAGGCAAAAAGGGAGACTGGAACTTAACAGGGGCTGGGGGGACAGGGAGGGTTAAAATGTAAGGAGGAATTTGGGGTGGGTAATAAGGAAATACAGTTTTTGAGATGCTGATCCAGAATGGGTAAGTTTTCAGACAAGTTATCTACATGAAGAGTATCTCAGGTTCAGGAGAAGGGTTTAGACGATCACTTAGTATTTTAGAACTCAGTAAAAGTAATAAAATTATTATAAGTAAAATGCATTGAATTGAGTTCCAGCCTTCAAAAGCATCTGTCAAGAGCCTCATGATGGCTTTCTTTAAAAAGTATGTACAAGGCCACTTTCCAGCCCAGACTGCCTTCTTTAGCCAGAGCAAGGATCAACAAAAATTTCTACTCAGACTTTCATTTCCTCAAAGTCCCATTACCCTCTCTATCCTAAAGAAGCCAAATTTATTGTTTGCAAATAAGTCTGGCCTTACCTACTAGCAAGCACAGATCTTATTACAGGGTTGGGAGAAGCACAGACAACAGGGATTGGTGGACTTGCCGAGAAGCAGTTTTGGGACTGGCTGATTTCATAGGCTGGTTCCTGGAAGCTACTGCAGAATGGCTGACTCAGGAGGAGGGGACAGAAATAAGGCTGTGATTGGGCAAGTTTTAAACAGACTCTAGTTACCTATTCAAGACTTAGGAACAGGACCAAGGAATTGTCAGTCACCTCTCTTAAATTTGGAGAATAGGAAATTTTTATTTTCAAATATTAAGTGCCCCCATTCCCTCATCATTGTTATTGTGATTCCCCCAAAACAAGCATAAAAAAAGTTTCCCTTTTTAGCAGTTTGCTAACTGTTTAAGGATAACAAAAAATAAAACATAGGTAAATTATAAAAGTTTCATAACCTTTCAAGAGCCCTGGTCTACTGCTGCCAATCACTGCGGGGAAAAGAAGCTGAGTTTTACCATACTTTTTCCATCCCAAAATACCATACTTAATCCATTCCAAGATGCAAGATTCCATACAAAATGCTCAGTGGACTAACCAGGAAAAAAACTGTTTTCATTTATAGATCCTCTAATGATGCTGTTCTCCATGTATCTTTAGTACTCAGCTAAATCTGTACATCTGTAAAAAATGTACATCAGGAAACCGCAGTCTAATGCAGCTACACTAATCTATCAACTGCAGTTCACAGGAAATTATCTTTAATTTCATGGGTGGGATAGACATGGGCCTACCAAAAGCCCACTGATCTGTACAAGAACATCTGCACTGAGTTTGCTATGGCTCTAATTCCAAAAATCTAAATGAAATGTCCCAAGCATTGAAATACGGGGCTTTAAAAAAAAAAAACCAAAAACACAGACACACATATTTGTGTGCCATACATGAAATATTCAGAAGGTCTGGATTCCAAACGCAGGAACATCCCTTAACAGACCTGTGGCCTTCAGCAAGTCATCAGCCTTCCCTTTCCTCATACAAAACACACCGCCCTAACAGGTGTGCGATGGCAGAGTGGAGGGCACGCACAATGTTGGGGACTTAGCTCCTCAAAGTGACTACAACCATAAGCTCACCAACAGCATGTTGCAAACCTGGGCTCAAATTAAAGAGGTGTCCCAGGACTTCTTCAGCTGAAAGTCTTGGCACGTCCACATAAGCGATCGTGGATCCTTAACCCTAAACCCAGCCCTCACACTCTTATCACCTCTCAGTGCACTGAGCGTGTCCCCCCATGTGCGTCCACCCTCTGCAGCAGCTCCGGTCGGCTGTCTAACGCAGACCTGTCTCTCCCACGCTGGAAGCACCCGCGATCGGCAGAGCTCCCCTCCAACCGAAACACGAAGTGGGCGCACTACGCGGCCAGCTCTCCCGAGCAGCTCTAAGTCACCCAAAATTACTTGATCCAACCAGAGAAGAGCGCGCGCCGCCCGCCCCTGTGTTTGCGGGGGTCCCCCCGCCCCACACGCTCGCCGCACCAGCGCCCACCCGCACTCCAAGCCCTGTTACTTGGTAAACCTGCGCACCTTCCCTTCACAGCGAGCTTTGACGGCATTCAGGCAAGCCGCTCATTCAAATGCAAAGAAAATGCTTAAAACACTTGGTGTGCCGCTCCGCAACTGCGCACCGCTGGAACTGGCAGTTACAACTTCTGACATTCCACAGCCAAATGTCGGCAGAAATTTTGCAAACGACCCACGTCCACGCAGCCGGCAGCGGCACCGGAGAAGTTGAAATCTGAAGGCCAACACGTGCATGTAAGTCACCCGTCGCAGCGCGCGCCCAGGGGCCCG